CATCGTGCTCCATTGTCACATGCCACGTCTTGCTCGCGACTTGCAACGAACGTCGACGATTAGCACTTCCTTAATTTGCCTCAATTGTACACTTTCCCTGTTCCGATTGGTGCGGATCACGTGACCAATCATGGCCGCCGGACGAGTGCGAACAGGTGCAGAAACCGCAAAGACGCTGCTGGCATAAACCCACGCAATTCTTTAGGAAACGAACCCGCATAAAACATAACCACGTTGTCTGTTTCTTTACGCTTTTCTAGTCACGTTAAATAGAGCAGAATTGTTCGAAGATTCGACACAAATAAGATTGTACTCGAGCAAAACAGAGAGCGGCAGCTCCACCGCTCATATCCAGGTGCTCAATATTTCTCAGTTAGTGGCTGTGCGCTTTGTTCTCAACATAACTATAAAGTCAAGTAACCTGCTGATGCTATGTTAACGGCAGAAGTTGGCGCAACTGAAGACACTTGCACCTGGCGAACGCACACTCTTCTAAACGACATCACCATGCCAATCCGATCTCGATTTCTTTGAAGCCGCGTGTTTATTTTGCTTCGGATCTTCCATATCGTACGGCTGCGCGTGTGACGTACATAATATATTGACGTCAATATTTCCAGAAGCAGCTCCAGGCACAGTCGCTACCACATCTCCGCGAGCGAGAACCTTTCCGTAAACCTAAAAACTATTCTTTGCTCTACTATTGTGAGATTATGTTATGGGCACGGCGAGGTACGCCGCGCCCCGTGTGCAGGCCGGAGAGAGAAAGCAGTAGCATGAGCATTCATAGCATCTGCGGGCCAGCAGTTAACGTTTCCGCCATCACTGCAGCTGTTGTGTCGGCTGCCACAAGCACGACCGCCGCGTATACACAGGCTCGGCCGCAAAATACCAATCCTGTTCGAATCGAAATCGTCAGATTTACATGTAAACGATTCTCAAATAACAAAACAAGTTGTTGAGCGGATGGCGCGTGTTTTTATCAAAGGCATCATCAGTAGTGTATTTTCAAAATTATGTTTTGATACGGCGGCCACGTGCGGCAGCGGGTGCTCTCGGCCGCCGAACACTATCGAATTACGGCCCGCCAGCCTGATGTGCCACACCGGGCGGGCGGGCTTCTGTGTCGTCTTCTTGCTCCTCTGGCCTCCTCTGGTTGCCTCGCTCACACGCACACAGACACGCAAGCACGCACGCATATGCATACATACATGCACATACACACATGCACATGCACTTGCGCATACACGCGCGCACACACAGACACACACACACACTCACACTCACTCATGCACGCGCGCTCACACACAAACACGCACACACACCCGCACACGCACACTCACGCGCGCACACGCACGCGCGCACACAACGCGCACACACCTCGCGCACAACCACGTACACACACTCGCGCGCCTGCCCGCAAGTATACGCGGACTCGTACACACAAAGGCGCGTTTGTTTGTTTCGGGCTCTGCCGCGGCACTCACTGATTTACTCTGTGTCCTCCATGGCTCTCCCCCCCTCTCTCTCTCCCTCCTTTTTCTCTATACTATCTCTCACTATTTCTATCGATATTTCACTCATCCTCTCCGTCTTTCCGTCGCTCTCTCTCTCTCTCTCTCTCTCTCTCTCTCGCTTTCTCTCTATGTTTCTCTCTCGCTCACCCACCTCTCTATTTCGTTCGTTCTATCTACGTCTCCCTCTTCCTAATCACATAATAAACAAACCCTCCAGCGATTAAAAACCATGCCATGCGGGTATTGCTGTTTTCTGCCTACACGGGTTCGTAAAATTACAAAAGAGCAGTGTGCTGCTGGGGTGCCTGGTTTGCATGCATCGGGTCTCTAGCAAAGAGAATGGTGTCTTTCTTTTCATGTCGACCGCCCAGCTACTCTGCCTTATTGACCGCGTAACTTCCTGTTCGGCGATTTTCGTCTTAGATCTTTATGCAATTCAATAGGTGAAATTCATCCAATTCAAAATGACGGAACTGCCAAACGTGACACAAGAAACGTGACTCGTTCTCCTATGTAATCGGTAGACTGTTGAGAACGATACCTCACATGTGTATACACAACATGCTGCTTGCATCTATGACAAATACGACATACGCATATACTTTCTCCTATGACACTATTTGTCATAGGAAGATTCTTCCTATGCCAAATATTGGCGAGTCAACTTCGTTCCGCTTTACAGCTGAAATTCACTTCTTGCGTTCTTAATAGCGCTCCTAAACTCCTATGATGCGCACATCACATACAACAATATTTGTCATAGGAAGAATCTTCCTATGACATATAGTGTCATAGGAGAGCGTATATGCGTATGTCGTATTTGTCACAGATGCTAGCAGAACAGGCTGGTATACATCATTTCAAGCCCGAGTTTAACATGTATTGGCACGCGTGCGCAGCTATTACCAATTCTGTTGTCTGCTGCGTACTTGTTCAGAAGCGCGACAGTTAATTTGAAGCACCGCATGTTGTATAACGTAAACCATCGTTCTATAGTTATATTCAGAAATTTAAAAAATCTCTCCGTATACGAAAATCTAGATGGTCACGTCAACATGCTTGCTATCTACGATGTTACGATCAAGCGTACGCTATAGCCAAATGTCATGCGTAGCTCCAAACCAGAGATACCTAGCGACCCAAATACACATAATTATAGACGCATAAGTGACTGCATGGTTGGGATCTACTTAATGTATCGATATATCAATTACAACAAATTATAGCGATATTCCATTTATCAATCTCTCATCGAATGTAACCGACGGCACTTATAATACCACTAATATTCGTGACAGATCGTGGCACAGTTTGCTTACTATACTATAATTGCACTCACTCTGCCCTACGCACGCGCGCACACAAATGCAACAAACTGAGCATCCCCGATGCTAGATGCTAGGTAAGCATGGAGAGACTGGCTTGATTTCTATGTGGGCGACCACTTAGACCGCACCATGGACAAAGGGCAACGCACGAAGACATCGTCTGCACAACCAGCCTAACAGCTACAGTCGCGCTACCAGTATACACGCCAATAATGAGAATAACACGCTTCGCGGGGGTAATATTTAAAGTAAATTTTAAGTTTTAATTGCACATTTGCATCAGCCGCAGCAGTTCTATCCGCATGTGTGTACACTGTCTCGGTAAATTGAGAGACGCGAGTGTTTTTCGCCATTTAACAACTTAATTACTTAACACAGCAACGTTATGTGTGCAGCTGTGTTTCTGGATATACGCCAAGAGCTGTGTACATATATCTTGTAGATTTTGAAATTAACGCTATTATTACTCTGAACACTTTATTTCTACATTTCATCATTGTAAACCAATACCTTGCAATCATACAAGCGACAATCTATGTGCGTGTGCGTGTTCTAATCTATACCTGTTTACAGAATTATTATATACATATATGCTTATTGGATGACCAGTAACGCAACTCGCATAATAATCCGATAACTTCACACGAATTCAAGAGCGTATTTTATTTGCTACTATTAATATAAGAAACCGTGAAGTATACCAAATGCATTATGGCTATTATAAAAATATCTTTCACGATCCTATATAAAGAATGCGTCGGGGTTCGCTAACCGGCAATAACAGATTGCGAAAGGCATCACTTATCGCGCGATCGGCGGGGTCACCACGGTAAACATCTGCGCCCACTGCATAATATAATAACAACAGCCGGGTTTCTGTTTACGCGCGCTCGCCTCGGTTGTAAACCCGACTTCGGGCGACAATTGTCTACAAAATGCATTATCACAGAGCGAGTTATGCGAACACGCCCGACCGCAGCAGTGTGGGCTGCGTCCGGGGAGCGGCAAGCGACGGCTGCGTATGCAGGGAGCTGACGTGTGTTCGGCCTTCCGTGAAGGGGTGCACGCACGTGTTACCGCGGCCAAAGGCACGACATAAAGCGCACGATCCGGGGGCTTGCCACTTGCGAGATACCGACACGGCTTTTTTTCTAGGTCGCACATCTCTCGCGATTAGCCGGCACGAGTGTAGCAGCAAGCTTAAACGAGGCTACCGTCGTGCCTGCCCGGCTCGTGTGCGCGATGACGCCGCAGTGTAATACTTGCGTTTGCAGCCGACAGGTGCCGCTATAGGCAGCACTGCGAAAAGCCGCGGGTGAGAAAGCGGCATACGTACTGTCCTTGAATCGAAATATGTTTGCGTACATATACGCCATAACTTAAATTGTGTTATTTAAAGAACGATTAGTTTTAGGTAAAGTTGAGACGAGAGAGTTGATGCGAAGATGTCAATTTTGAAAAAAAAAGATTTATGCACGGGCATAACTAGTTGCGTTGATCACCTGTTATCCTTTTATTATATTATATTAAACTATTCACCATTGAATAATATTTATTGTCGGGCGTTATTGAAGTTATAACAACCTCTGATATATTATTGTGGCTTGTGTATATGTGCTTGCTGGCTTTCCATATTTGAAAGTTTTAACTAATATTAAAACGTGTTTAAAGTTGCGGGTTATATTTGCATTTATTGGTATGTTTATCTTCGAAATGATTCAGAAATGAAAGCAAAATTAAGAACCAATTAAGTGCAAAACATATATATATATATATATATATATTGCATTTATACATATATATATACAACACGAGATACCAAATAATATCTTTGTTAGTTTGTCTCTTCAGTAGTGATTTTTTAAATTCCATTTTTACCCTTTATCCAACTTCTGCTTGTGAGCAATAGTGGCAAAAATACAAGTCAACGAATTATTTGCGGCATCCTGCTAAACCACAGGAATAGTCCGTGCCGCTTGTATAAATGTAGAACTGACATCAGTATTCTTGTCATGCAAGTCGAGTTGCACTGCCATCTATCGAGCAATTTAAAGTAAACCTTTGCAAAGCAGAAGCTGCCTCGTATTGCTCTCATCCCCGGTTACAATATTTACACTAGATACACGATACTCAAATATATAATCAGTAATATTGGTTGTGCATTCTCAACAACTCATCGCTTTATTAACGCCCATAGACCCACTCAGTCCCATAAACATATCGGTGAAGATGCCTCGCTAGTATCTGCTACTAGTTACAATTAAATTGTCGACCGTTGCTATATCTGCCATTCTCGCCGGTAAATGGCGCACTCTTGCATCGTTTGTGTTTTGGCGCAATTCGATAAAAGTAATCACGCATGAAGATATTTTTACTGCACTGCTTGCACATACGCTGCCTTATATAGTCAAAGGAAAACACGCAACGGGCACCGCATCCGCTCTTTACAACATCGCTGTGAAGCATATTAGCAAAATATATACAACTTCCATAATTATAATGAATATATTATTTCAACAATATTACATCAAAAACTATATACAAAAAGATGCTAGATGAAAATGAAAACAAAACCTTCTGTGCTTGAGATGGAAGTAACACATTTCAAAAACGTCGAAATAAACACATCGAGCTTGTGATTAAGTATATGTGTGTAGATTTCACGTCGAATCTAAAATATTTTTGATGCGGCCAATGAATTTCAGCGAAAAATCTGTTATAGAGGTGGCAGCTGTTAACAATCGTATACCTCGCGCACGTAGTATACCTCGCGCTTCTCCTGTTACTCGCGATGACACGAAATATTCGCATTAAGATGTGTATTACATATATTATAATATAACCATATCGTCGATCATATCGCATCACAACTACGAACGCTCGAATTATTATGATCATAAGAGAGCTTTCAAACGATTCGTGTACCTTAATTAATAAACAAGCCCAGTAATTATCGATACAGATCGGGGAGATTCGTAGAGCCAACGGCATGTATATCTCTTATACAAGTATAAATCTTAAATAATTAACGTAAATTGTTCCGTTATAATTGTCAAAATTTAGAAGCATCTTCGGAATAAGTTAATAACAACCCTGACCATGCTTCGACGAATCTTTTTGTCATTTTTTAACAGGTATTTTTGCCACTCAACTAGTAGAGAGAACAAGGCTACAATATCATTTAGAGTGGGATTCCTTTATCCGTGAATTGGTCTACAATACATCCTCGTTAAATATAGAATAATATATTGATAAGAGAGATTTAACCAGTAATTGCTACGCTCTACAATCTTTAAGAAAAACGGAAGTCACTCCGCCCACTCTAATACATAATTTACAATTGACAGGCCTATAAGCAGTCGCTCGAATATACACTAAAACCTTTATAAATTACACAACCAGCTCATCTGGAGGCACTTTTCCGTATTTACAGTCGAATACACCAACGCACAACTATAAATTTTTATTGCCATAGGAAACGAGAATAGATATAGCTACAAAACCGATACTCCGCGAAAGCGCGCGCGCGCAAGGCGTATTAAAGACATGTGTGAACCATCTTTTTCGATCGGCATATCTCGCATTTGACCTGGCAGCACCAGTGAAACGTACACGAGCAGCGCTCGACCACCTCGCGCTCCTCGCTCCTGTAGCCGCGGCCGCAGCACATCAGGTCGCAGCCGTCTACGCCTATCGACGTCGCGTTGCACTGCCGACCGAGCGTGCCCTCCGAGCCGCTCGTCGGGTCCACCGCGCAGAAGTCCGGCGAGTTGTCGATGTAGACCAGGTCGCGCCGCGTCGGCGGCTTGTGGTTCTTATTATACGTCTCCATTTCAAACTTCAACTTGCCCCGCGGCGCCCTGTTGCTGTTGCCTCTGCGGAAAAGATTAGAATTTGTGATGCGAGCAGCGCGCTATGTGCGGAGTCTGGCAATAGTACGTTCGGGCGGAGGACGCTCATGCTAGCGATTGGGCCGCTGCCTCGTTATATGCACAGCACCGTAGCCAATAATGGCCTGTATTTGAAAAGAAAATAACAGGATATACTGTATCTAGTATTTGGTGTTACTTCGTCGAATATATAAATAAAATCATAATTATATGTATACATATATATATAATTATATATATGTATATATATAATTATATGTATATATAATATGTGCGTTGCTAAATATCTGATGATGCACATAGTAAAGACTTGCTAGCGCTAATTAAAATGGCTGCTTGTATCTATACATAGATGTGGCTGTGCTTATCGTCTACACAAATTGATACTCACAGACGCTAATATGGACGATAGCACATCGTTAGCAAATATTCGTAATAGCAATAAACTGAGCTAGAATGCGGCGAAGGCGAAGACGAGAGTACTGACCCAGGTTTGCGATATCTGCTGCCAGTCATGTGTGCGGGGATTGATTACGTGATTAACAGAGATGTTAAGGTTGCGAAAGTAATAACTAAAATATTACGTTTTTCACTACTGCTGCCAGAATGGCTATCATACGTATCTCGACCAGTAAATCTCGGTAAGCACTACATAGAAAGTGTTATTTATAAATCGGCTGCGTGTAAAGATTCGTTAACGGCACATTGCTTGCCATCAAAGTGGTTGCAATAAATTCCAGTGCAGATAACAAGCTAAAGATGACCACGTATGCGTATTTCACGTAGGCCTACGCCGCAAGTAGAATATGTGGTTGCGGTGCGATCCTCTCATCCTTCCCAGCAGTTACCCGATATCGCTTAAATTATTACGATTTTTGAAACGGGATGCTCTTCCAGGAAGATCATCAAGACACCTAAATATGGATCCCATGGTCGCCACCTTCCCGTAAACACACATGGTCAACGTTCAAGACCGCATAGAAGTGCTACCAGCAATCAATTGGCAATATCGTTTCGATTTATTTTAGGACCATAGGTTCGGAGAACTGAGGTGCGTCGGAGTAGGTGCAAACCAAAGTCCTCTCTCTCTCTCTCTCTCTCTCTCTCTCTCTCTCTCTCTCCTCTCTCTCGTCTCTCTCTCTCTTCTCTCGCTCTCTCTCTCTTCTCGCTCTCTCTCTCATTATATATAGATAGTATAATTTCAAAGTTGCTGTGTGCGTTGAAGGCAGAACTAGCCTGTGCATGGATCTTATGAATTCATGGCTCCTAACTTAATATGCAAACAAGATGCATGTTCGCTGCATCATATAGTGAACTCGGGTGTGGCTCAATAAATTAATTATTTGTTCAGTTTGTTGTGCTGGACAATGTGCCTTAGTAATATACGCCTATACTTTATGGCAGATTATAATTCTGTAATGTACTGTCTCGCATAAGCCACTAATCATACCCATAGTTCCCGAATTGTTATTATACATCAACTACATTATTCAGGAGTTAATTTTGGATTGGTTCTATTCCGGATTATATTATAAATAAAATTTATATAAATACAGTATATATCTTACGAATAATTGTTGTATTTTGTATTATATTATTTACCTGTTACCTGGTACTTTATATATCTTACATTCATGTCTATTCGGGGTTGGGCTATGCTCTTTATTGTTGTATATCTTCTTATTATATATATAAATATACTTATATATTTATAGTTCTATATTGTGCAGCGCGCCGTGGGTGCGAGCTGTGCGATTGGATGAGTGTGTGTAGGTACTGTATGTATGTATGTATGTTATGTATGTACGTACGTATACGTACGTACGTACGTTATGGTATGTTATGTATGTATGTATGAATGTATGTATGTATGTATGCTATGTATGTATGTACTGTATGTATGTATGTAGGTACTGTATGTATGTATGTATGTATGTATGTATGTATGTATGTATGTACTGTATGTAGTATGTATGTTATGTATGTATGATCATTGTATGTATGCTTTGTATGTATGTATGTATGTTATGTATGTAATGTACGTACGTACGTACAGTACGTACGTACGCTACGCTACGTAGCGTAGTACGCTACGTAGTACGTACGTGGTCGCGTGGCGTGCGTGCGTTGCGTGCGTGCGCTGTGTGTGTGTGTGTGTGTGTGTGTGTGTGTGTGTGTGTGTGTGTGTGTGCGTATGTGTATGTGTGCATGTGTGCGTGCGTGTGTGTTCATGCGCGCGTATACAGGGGGAATGCGTGCGTGAGCTTTAGAATTTTACGTAACACAAAGTGAACATTTCTCTCGGAATTGAAAAATGCCTGCCTCATCCATGCATCGCGTGCGAATAGCTGTAGCATACCTATTTCCAATAGTAACACGTGATGCTCCGTCGAACCTGTCCTTCAGTAGAGTGCCAACCTCTCGGAAGGAAGGTAATCGCATCCAGCAGGTCTTCACCGTACAGCTTCCCGACATGCCGTGACATTTACACTCCTGTCGCATCTCCGTGTTCACGTGCTGCAAGCGAAAACACGATGTCGTATTATTACGTGGAGAGTGAGAGGAGAGTAGTGGGAGAGGAAGAAGAGAAAGAGAGAAAAAGAGAAGATGGCCGGCAGAAAGAGAGATAGCGAGAAAAAGAGAGAGCGAGAGAGATAGAGAGAGATAAAAGGGAGAGAGGAAGGTAGAGAGCCGCTTCATAGTTGTTAATTATTTTTTTCGTAACATGTGATTTTTATAATTTAAAAACAAGCTATAAATATATTATCGGCAGTGGGAAGGCTTCCGATATTGCTTTGAACGCGTGCATGTAAATAAAATGAAATTATATTATTATTCGATTATTGGCGGACGATGGATCTAATTATTAAATTGATTTTGTATGCTTGATTGTTTTGTTGTATTTTTTTTTAAATGGAGGTCGTTAATACTCGTCTGGTTCCCGGAATAGTATAAAAACGCCCGTCTGGGACCGACATCATTTAGCTGCACACCGAGGCTCGGTGATATACCGAGATATTGGCTGTGGTGAAGATACACGGGGTGGCGGTAGGACGCAGTGGCAAAGATAGCCGCTGGAACGCTCAGGTTGCGTGTGGTAGGGTGAGCTAACAGAGAATATTGGGTGCATGAGGGTGGGTCGGGGTGTATTGTGGTAGGGCGGGGGTAGTAGGTACTGCTACTACTGAGTTCACATGCCCGCATCAATAGCATATATTGCCACCTAATTGCACACATGCGCGTATGCATGTATACATGCTGAGTAGCGTGTTTACACCTACTTAAGAAATGCATCGACGACGTGTAGATTTAGGTGACACTTTGCAATTACCCGGCAGATCGGCGTAACGGCCTCGCGCGTCTGCGGCGTGTGTGTGTGACAGGCGCCGAGTCGCCCTCTTGCTAATTACGTGCCGCCATTCAGGTAAATCGCCGTCACCAAAGTACAAATTATGGGATTGTTCTTAAACTGTCGTGGGAAATACTCGGGGAATATGTGGGGGTTCTGTGCTGTTCCGTCTCTATACTGACGACCATAGGAATTTCGCAGAGTTCGCCGCGTTGCCGATTGCGCAATTCTGCTGCCCTGCGCGAGAAGTGAGTTGCACCAGCAGTTCAAGGTTTTGTATAGTTCGTGTAATTTAGTCCAGTTAATTGAAACGAAATAGATATTGAATCGATAAGCATCGCAGTTCCGAATTTACCATACGGCGAGTGGCGTTTATATGAGGAGAATTTTAATCTCCGAACCGTATGGGAAGGATGGGGTGAGATTAGACCCTATACGACTAGGAGTTCATGTCCTCTACATAACTTGGGAGAAGAATTTGCGGATGCGCCCACGCCAAATAATAGACGTCTCTAATTTCACTTAAACGTGTGCACATGACACATGCAGGCCAGGTTGCGTGCGCACGTACGTATGTATCGCTGGTCACACGGCATTCAAACGGGTGCGTTCTGTAAGCACCGATTCTCCCGAGCGCGCCCAAGTATTTGTCCGCTCAGAACATAGGTATCTGGCGAATAATTGGCAAATTACGGGTATCATACAGGTGTAATACCGAGGTGTGCCCGGAGATTACAGGTTTAGTCCGTGGGAAGCAAGCGGCGTCGGGTGGCCACGGTCAACGCGCGAATGGCTACGAATAATTGTTCCGTTTACCAGAGCGTATATACGCGTCGGCGGCAGAGATCTGTTAAAGCAAGTACTTGCCCTATCTATATATGCGTAGAATACTTTATATATATATATATATATATATATATATATATTATAATATTGCTTGATCAGCAGATCTATAGACTATGGTACGTCTAATAGTGAGTACAATGTCTGTAAACAGCGGTAGGCCTACTGCGGTCTGTGTAGGTACGGCGGACTGGCCGAATGCACATATTTTCGTAGAATATTCAGCACATATTTTCGTACACCTATTTTCGTACACCTATTCGTAGCACATATTTTCGTACTATTCTACAATATTCTACAATTCACACTACAACGACTCATTGGAAACGAGATAATCTTACATAGGAGGTAAGATAAAAAATATCTCAGTGTTGTAAAAAAATAATTATGTGTACTGTTGGCTGTGTGTCACTTGGGAGAGGTGCGAGAAACCAAATTCAGAGCCAATAGCAGTTTGTTAGCGGCGCTGTACTTAAATCTAACAATCATTTAAGACGATGATGTAGCTCTTTCAAGCATAATTTACCGCGCATAAAAATACTGCCCTCGGAGATGAGTATACAGACAGAACGTGTTCCTACCGAGTTTGGCACGGTCCTAACAGCTCGCTCGCCGTCATCATTGACAATTGGCGGTTGGGCGGCGGCTTTGACGCTCATGCTCCGCACACCTTTTATGGTTTTAGCTTTATAGCCAAAGAAAACACATGTGACGCTGTGGGGAGGGAGCGAGAGCTGAACCGGTAGTAATACACGTACGCGGCGAACGGGCTAAAATGGTTATAATAAATCACTATGCTGGTTAGGAGACCTACCTCCGCGTATCGCATTATCTCCTGCTACACCTAATCGTGATTAACGTTTAAAGAAACTCTCGTAAATCTAAACGTGTCGTATTCTCTCGGTTTTGTTCGGCTTGAAGTAGGACCATATACGAATCGCGTGACATGGATAGTTTTTTATTGCACTAATATACGTCTGAGGTCTAGCTTTTGCTGCTGGTATGTTCCGACCATGTGCAATACGAAGATAGAAGAATTGTGTAACGTTAACTGCATTCAGACTCAGTATTTGGTTCTTTAAATTTAAACTATGACTAATGAAGATTCGTGCGTTTTATTTCCTTTCTATCAAGTCTCAGTTACACAGATAACTGACCGTATATAAAGTATTACTGTATAGTACTTTGCACTGGTTATTACTAGGTTACGATGTTTTTGTATTTCATTTTGTAGAAACGGGATATAATTGTATTATTTTTATTAATACACGCCGAAAGTTCACATCGCCTGACAAATTACTCGGTTGTTTCTAAATACGGACGTGAGCGCGTTATTTAATGACTATATCGCCTGTTAATTCTTTCCAAATAAGGCTAATAAATGGAAACTGTAGAGTTATTATGACAACCCGCCAATGTATTATTGTGGGGATTACAATAAACCACCCACGATACGTTCTAGGTGTGTGCACGCAGCTCCATAAAACCTATAGAGTAGACAGTAGAAATCGTCGCAAGCCGAGCGAAGCAAAACACGCGGGCGGGGAACTTGACAGCGAGCCAAATAGATATCGAGCTAAAAAGAGAATGTGAAGGATAGATAGATCTAGGGAGAAATGGAGTGACCTACGTCCCACACACAGCACACACACACACACACACACACACACCACACCACAACACACACACCACACACACACACACACACACACACAACACTACACACACAACACAACACAACACACACAACACAATCACACAACAGACTCTCATCTCTCTCTCTCTCCCTCTCTCTATATATAATACGTATAGATAATATAATAAATAATAAAAGAGAGAGAGAGAGAGAGAGAGAGAGAGAGAGAGAGAGGGGGGGGGAGGGAGAGGAATGCGATCGCGACTATCTAACTAGTCGAATACGATGAGGGTGGGATGTGTCTCCTCCTCTGTGGCACAGCCCACATAACATCCATCGTTGAAGGCGCAGTTCATGCAGCCAGTAAAACCTCAATACAACCTCCTTTGGCGCAACGTGGGCGGGAACTAACAGTTACTGGGAATTACTTATGAAATGTCTTCGGTTTTTCCTGCCAATGCACTATGTATGTCTTGTACAAGTAAATAAGACTTAGGTGATAGATCGCATGAAAATCACATAAATTCGAAGAAGTTAATGAATATTAGAGAAGGATATAGTTAGTTATCTTACTACTATCAAATAACATCAAATTTCCACCTATTTATTCGAGGAAATAAGGCAAGGGGATCGGATCAGTATAATTATTTTAATGCGAGTGCATGCATCTGGAGTCGTATATATACTACGGGGACAAACATGATTTACGTAATAGAGGCGAATAATTGTCTGCATTCGTCTCCGCCCAATCTGATTGATCAACGTGCATTGCAGCAGAAGAATCAGCTTAGCGAAAGACAACCAAGCATCATGCCGAGCAGTCATGCATCGTAGACAACCTCGCAGGACAACCATGCATTGACGTCATCTATACGCAACTGCGCAGTCTCGTGATGCAAAGTAATCGATATTATTCATATCATTCCGTCAGAGAATTTCTCGTGGCGCCTATTTTTGCGGAAACGAACTCTTATCTTGTCTTTCCTCTACAGATTGTTCATTTTCTGCATAACAGACCTAGACGTTGAGAAAACAAGGCATGACTGACGTCGTTTTTGTTTAAACACGCATTGGGCGGCTCTTATTTTTCGTCATGGCATACCAATCAATACGCAAAAGAAGCCGAAACAGTTTTGACGTACATTTATCAGTTTTTATGAAGCTAAAGAGGGCGTTAGCTAAAGAACCATTGTAACACTAGAGAGACTCATCGAATTTGGGAAATGTTCAAAATTCATCCGTTTTTGAGAAATATTAGTAGTAGTAATAATATGTCATAGTATTATTAGTAAAATACGATATCGATATGGTACAGTTAGCAAATGCTGATACACGCATTCACGTAACAGCACGTGTGTCGGTATAAAAAATACACATATCTAAATGCAGCACTTTTCATTAACTTTAGATTCTACTTACCAAGCGTCCTGCATTGTTGTTGTGAAGATTCATCTTATATCGGATATCTTTTCCCTTCTCGGCGGCATCGACGAACCTTCGGGAGAACTTATAGCCGAACTGGACGTTGTCGGAACAGCCACCCCATTCCCAATCTCGACCACTGGGACCTCTCTTGCTGTAGTCGCACGTGCAGGTTTGTATGGAGCCCTCACTACAAGCTCTGGCTATCGTGTGGCCCACACCTGCACTAGTTATCGCGTATATAAAAGCCGTCTCTCGACATCCTGTAAATAGAAAAGAGACTCTCTGTACTGCGCAGATAATAACTTCGTTTTGAAAATAAAATTGCAAATAACTAATGATTCGTACACTGCTATTCATTAATACGCACACCATGCACAGTACATGTACTCACTCACGTAGCATAGAATATTGTCACACACATACACAAACATACACACACACACCCACACACACACACACACACACACACACACACACACACACACACACACACACACACACACACACACACACACACACACACACACACACACACACACACACACTACGACACGACACACACACACACACACACACACACACACACACACACACACACACACACACATACACACACACACACACACACACACACACACACACACACACACACACACACACACACACACAC